TTATATATTAAGAATATAAATGGTTCAATTTTTTATTAAAATAATAGTTAATATTTTTTAACCCCAATTTTAAAGTGTTATAAATTTGATTAAATAAGGATGGTTAAATACCCTTTTTGGTCCCTCTACTATAGTAAAAAGCCTTTTTTTAGTCCCTATACTGAAAGAATCCCTTTTTTGGTCCTTATTGTTTGAAATCCGGCCCCTTTTTAGTCCCTCCGTTAAATTTTGCTGATGTGGTAGGTTAACTAACGAAATCATTTGAATATTTTTTATACAAATAATATTATAAATGAGGTGGAAATTATATGGATGCCACCTGTACAAATTAAAAATTTTACTTTTAATTCATCAATTAAATGAATTTAAATAGGATTAATTTTAATTTTTTAATCGTTTTTGTCTTCTTTGTTAACATTGATAAATTTCTAGGCCTAAAGCACCGTGGGAAGAGTTGCAGATTACGCTGACCTTCTTTCTCCTCCTGCTTGGCATCATACTCATCCTCATCAGCTGCTAGGCTCTTTGCAGGTTGGCGAACCTAGTTTGGGTTCTTCACGGAACGCTTTTGTTGGGTTCACAGAACCCAGTTCTTGGGTTAGTGGAACCCAGATCTGGATTCCGCGATGCTTGGTTCGTGGAACCCAGATCTGGGTTCCGCGAAGAACCTAGTTGCTGGGTTCGCGAAACCCATATCTGGGTTCCGCGAGGAACCCAGTTGCTAGGTTCTGCGAACCCAGTTTCTGGGTTCCTTGCTTGCTGGGTTCAAGGAACATTGCTGGGTTCACAGAACCCGGTTTTTGGGTTCCTTGCTTGCTGGGTTCAAGGAACCCAGTTTCTGCTACATTGAGGCATTGAATCACTTTTTTCATTTGATCAATTGTTGGGTTAATTAATTGTTTTTAACAGGTACTTCCAAGAAGGAAGTTGAATAGGTTTTGTTGGTTCATGAGATGAGTTTTAGTCCTTTTGGTTGAACAAATGCATTACTCGTGGGTACGCAACGGTACGCAATGAACCCAGCTTCTGGGATCACGATGAACCCACGAGCTGGGTTCATCGCGACGAACCCAATCTTTCTAATGGCTCAGAACATTCTACCTTTGCTGATAGATTTATGGTGTTGCTTGCAATAACATTTTTTAGGACACCTGGAAAGATTGGAACAGCTTACCTTCAGGCACCTAGGTTCTTTTCTTTTCTTTACCTTCAGGCGAACCCAGGAGCTGGGTTCGTCCTGAACCTAGGCATCTGGGCTCATCGCAAACCCGCGAGCTGGGTTCCTCGCGAACCTAACCTAGGTTCGCCCGGAGGTAAAAAGAAAAAAAGAAAAAAAAAAAAAAGGGCGAATGACGTGGCAGGTATCATAAGTCCACGTAAACATTTTTTACACGTTTGGCATATCCACATCAACTATTTCAGTTAAGTTAACGTGCCACGTAAGCAAAAATTAACGGAAGGACTAAAAAGGGGCCGGATTTGTGAACAGTAAGGA